GGACCAAATTGAAGAATATATAGCAACATGGATCAATTATGTAATTATACCAAAATGTTTTTAACTACCATATCACAGGTTTCGTTAACCGTTAATGGTAGGTGGCTTGATTGAAATATTTAATAGTTTGATGGTTTGTTTCATCAAATTGAAACATCGATGGTCAAAATGATTTTTGACTATAATTTAATAGTCAATCGTGTAATTTACCCTAAATTTTCTCATCTCTTATTGAATTTATTTGTTTCACTCTCGCCTTTAAACTAAATAAAAATAAAAATTAAAGGGTAAAGTACACGAGGATCCCTGACTATAGGATATTACTTTATTAAATCTCTTGACTATTAAAAGTTGCAAATGGTCCTTTGAAAGTTACTTTGTTAAGTCCCTCGCTTATCAAAAGTTACAAAATTGTCACTCGACTATTCATTATGTTTCAAGCTCGTCATTTTCCATAAAAAAATTAACAATTATCTGACCTGGATGTTAACACGTTGACTGAGATATGATAGTCGTTTGAGATTATAATATAAAATTTTATTACATCTTAGTCAGTAGAATAACGTGTAACTCAGATTGTCATCAATTTTTTAACAAAAAATAATGAGTTTGGAACATAATGAATAGTCGATAGACCATTATGTACTTTTATTAGTCAAGTGACTCAACAAAGGCAACTCCCTATAGTCAGATAACCATTTTATAACTTTTAATATTCTAAGGACTTAACAAAATAATATCTTATAATCAGAGACTATTATGTACATTACCCAAATAAAATAACTTATTTAATTAATAAATAATGAATTAACTAACTAAAAATTAACAGAAGGACCAATCACGAAATCTATATTTTCTTGTAAAGTTTATTCAACTTTGCTTGCCTTTGAAATAAAGAAATCGCTAACGTTGTCTCTTAATTAACATTAAATTGAATTTTGGACGGTGTATAAAGTAATTATTTTTAGGCCTAGCATGCAAGATTCTAGGTTTCCCTTATCATTTGAAATAATAATATAGTTCTCTTAATTATAATTTTTATTTTAAATTAATTTATAAATTTAAAAGGTTTTTGTATTAATTTTTAGTTTTTAAATTAATATTTATATTTTAAAATATTTTTATATCAATCCTTAGAGCTAATAAAGATATATTTTAAAGGTGATGATAGTTGAAATTATGATACTCTAAAAGAATTTAAGGACATTTAGAAATAGATAGTTTTTTTTAGAAGATCACGTGTTGAATTTTAGAGGCTTCAAAAATATATTAATTTAAAAAAAGAATGATATAAATCCAATTTCCAAGACTTTTAAAAAATTCAAGTTAACTAAACATTAATGAAACTATCAACATTGAATGTATCGATAGTTTGAGGATTGATAAATAATGTTTTAAAATTTAGGGTCTAATTTAGAATGAGGTTATACTTTGAGGACCAATATAGATTAAAAAAATGGTAGTTTGATTGTTAATTAATGATGAACAAGTTGGACAAGTGGGTGATTTTATTATCTTTAATTATTGTATGACTAATAATGGGGCTGCTCTCTACCATTTGATAAATGCAAGCAAATGCGAATCAAACTTATCAAGAAATTTTAGTATTAGCATCTAGCTTTTCGACTTTGATTAAAATTTGGTAGGTTAATCTACACTGTTGATCATTAAACTTTAGGGAAAAATACGTATTTAGTATCTAAATTATCAGTTTTGATTTATTTTAATACTTGATTTTTTTTTATTAATTTGGAGTAAGTACAAGGGTAAGTACAAGACATATGTTTATGATAACCTTCAACCTTTTGACATTAAACGCTCACACCCCTGACATCTATGGTGCTCGAACCCAAGTCATCAAGGAATAACAACGATTCCTTTACCGCAGAGGCCACTTGGGTCACAACTAAACTTTTATTTTTTTTAAATCATACCTAATGTTTAATTATTTTGTTTCGTTTTAGTAACCCGCCGTTAAAAACTTAACGCATTTTGTACCTAACTATCAATTTGGTATGTTTATTACCTAAACTTTCATTTTTTTCAAAATTTTGCGTTAAATTTTGAAAAGGATACTAAATGAAACAAAATTAAACTTTAGGTATAATTTTGAAAAAAATAAATGTTTATGTATTAAAACGAACTAAACTAATAGTTTAGGTACTAAACGTAAATTTATCCTAAATTTTAAGTTTTGTATTGATTTTATAATTGAAATTTAAAACACTCTTGTATAAATATTAAACTTTGGTTTTGGATTTAAGTGAGACGTTGAGTTGTTAAATCATTAAATTCCTGACGAGGTGATCATCATTTTCGTGTTGTTTTGATAAAAATTATCAATTCTTTCGATCGTCTGATCATCTCTATCCACCGGTCATCATCAACAATAAGATTAACATCAAATATTCATATTTTCTTCTTTTCCTTATGCTTAGAATGTTTTTTCACGAAACCACCTCAAAATAAATGAAGATCCATCCAAATGTTCAGTATTCTAATGTTCTGTTCTCTCTAACGATCGTCTAATGAGTGAGCTCGAAATATTTTTTTCGCATGTCGAAAGAATGTCTCTCTTTTAAACAACAACCTCAAATCTCTCCATTTCGGAAAAAGTGTTCAAACCCTAAAAGTTCCAGCTTATGCTGCCACAAAATTGGACAACATCAATTTAGGACTACTCTTGCAGCTGAATTTTATCAACGGTCCAAATTGTCGAACATTGAACTCACCCAAGAATGGATAAAAATTAATAATTCAAAATTGTAAGAGTGGGCCATGGTTGTTGTGTTGACGTGGGACAAAACAAAACAAAAATAAATAAATAAAATTGGCAATTTGCGGAAGAGGGGGGCCCATTTAGAGAAAATGCGAGTGCTTTGGGTTCTCTTGTCTTGGACAAAATGAAAAAGGATGTACATTGAATTTGAATACCCTTTTCTCTTTAATTTAATTACGTCGGTCCATCCTATCGTCGGAAAATCAATGTAAAACCCGATTTTTTTTTTAAAAGGGATTTCTTGAAATAAGTCAAAATCTTAAGGGTAAAGTACATAAATAGTATCTTGACTATAGGTACTATTTTATTAAATCTATTGGTTATTAAAAGTTGTAAATTGGTCTCTTTATTATAGAATGTTGTTTTATCAAGTCCATCGACAATTAAAAGTTACAAAATTGTTATATGACTATTCATTATGTTCCAAATTCGTCATTCTCCTTTAAAAATTAACGTTTGTCTAAGCTGAATGTTAGTATGATGATTGAGATATGATAGTCGTTTGAGATTCTATGATTAGATTTTGTCATATTATAGCCAAGAAGTTAATATTCAGCTCAGAATTCTATCAATTTTTCTAATGAAAATGGACGAGTTTGAAACATAAATGAATAGTCGAGTGACCATTTTATAACTTTTAATAGTCGAGGGACCATTTGTATACTTTACCCAATCTTTAAAGTAAAATTGTTTTAATTTAAGTACAAAATAATCAATTATGTTTTGCGAATTAAGTAATAGAACGTTATATCATTTTAATATCATAAATAAATAAATAATACAAAGTATATTTTTATTTAAAAATGATTTAATTTGATATATAATCATAAACATTATATAAGTTTTTTTATATATAAAAACAAGTATTCTTTTTATGGACTTACAAAGTACAAAAAGGCAACGGCAGCACTCAATTTTCCTCGTTTTTTCTATGAGCATATAGATGGATAAACACGGCGCCAGTTGGTGATATGGATGACGGCTGACGCGTCTCTTTATTATTGGGTAAAGTTTACTAGAGGTTCATGTCTTATATTCAAACCATCTTTTTACCTATTAAGTTTTCAAATGTTACAAAATACTCATTAAATTTATTATCAAACTATTATCAAATAATCTTAAAATTTATCATTATTTTATAAATGCAATAATAATTTGACAAAAATGCATCATAGGTCCCTATTCTTTTAAAAGAAAATCAATATAACCCTCATATTATTTTATTCCTTAGTATGACTCTCCAACTCAAAAAATAAACCCAATATGACCTTTTAAACTATATTTTTCATCTTTCACCTTTACATTATCGATGTGACAATTCACTAAACTGACGTAATGATCAACAGTGTTGACGTGACAATCCATAGTAGTTGATAACGTGATGGATAACATTACAAATAGACCAACACTATAATGGTGAACTTCCCACCTGTACTATAACGTCAACAACGGAAAAAAGTTGATCAAAGGACCACATTGAGTTTGTATTTGAGTTAGTTGGCCACATTGAGAGAGAAAATAATACAAGAGTCGTATTGATTTTTTTTCAAAAGTATAGACATCTTATTCCTTTTTACCTAATAATTTTGCAACATAAATAAATTTATTAACTAAAAAATCATTTCAACATGATTTAGTGATCATTTACATGCTTTACCATTAAGTAAATGTTATAAGCCCAAATTCCAACACAGCTAATCCAATCAGCCAACCTATGTGGACACTTGATTTTGGACAGAAATCAAAGGATGGAGAGAGATGCATGCACGGCCCTGAAGTTGAAGCAAAAGAAATAAAAATGCTTGAATTTGAATACAAATCTGTGGACATGCATATTGTTTGTCTTAAAAGTTTAATATTCTTCGACTTTACTAGGTATAAAGATGTTGGTAAATCACATATTACCAACCACGTTTCTCAATCATACTAATGAATAAAATAAAACATGAATGCATTGTGGTCAAGTGAACCTGTTGAAGAAACACCTATGCAATCAGTCTAAATTTAAAATAATAATAAAATAAAGTTTTTTTTAAAAAAATACTTTATTAGTTGAGAAATTATTTATCTGTGTTCCAACAGCTATTTTAGGAATGCAACAAAATAACAACACGGTTCCAAATGTATCATCGCCATTCATATAGGTGTAATTGAAAAAAAATCATCGAACCCTATCACCTGCTGAATCGGTTGAAGATCGACTCGACGACTGTAATATATCCTTCTTGTGGTTCCCCTAATTACCACGTTTGAATATGAGAGATGCCAGGTTAGCTCTCCACCCAATAATCAACGACGATGGTGGTTGTGTTTTGGGAAGAAGGGAAGCTAGTCCCTGACGCATGCTGTAACCGGGAACGATTGGATGATTGACATTTGTCTCTGCCATCCTGGAAAATGTTCCACAAGCACATTACCAAATCACCAAAGCATTGCTCAACTCAAAAGAGTCCATTTTTCTGATAAAAACTCACTAAACAAACGTGCGTGCAGACTAGGAAAGGAGCCGAGTATAGAAGTATGAAAGTATCATCACGGGCATCGTACATCAATAATACAAATTGGTGTGACAGAAGGAAAGGGAACAAGGTATAGAATAAGTATGAAAGTAACTAAATCTTCAAAGAGTGAAGAAATGAAGAGATCTAGAACTGGAATCAAAGACTTCCACAACTTCTAGTTTTATGACATGAAAGCAGGTAATGGAGACAAAAACAAAAACGATTACTGACTAGAACTTACGATTAACCCTAACGATTTTTGAAGAGTTTTTATTGCAGTAAATAATGTGTAAAAGCATAAAATCAGTCATCATGGTAGGCATACTACTGCAAGTCCTCAACTGTAATGCAAGGGAGCTAAATCCATATGCAGTCAAGATTACAGCAAAAAAATTGTGTTTTAAAAGTTGGCACGGGGAAAATCATCAGCTAGAGAAGCAGGCTAGAAATTCTCTAAGCACCAAAAATGGTGCAATCAAGATTCAGTATGATTGAAGATGCCACTTGAACCTCTCTAACTGTAAAGAGATTAATAAAGGAAAAACTTTTCTCTGCTGTCTTCCCAAATGTCAACGCCCCGCAGTTAACTTAATAAGAAGCTAAAGATCAACTAACCGGCGTAAAGATAAAGGTAGTCAACCCTACCTTCTTCCAAAACAAAGAAGCATCAGTTCCCTTAGGTGTTCTTAAAACAAAGAATAACATGTACTTAGCATAGTACTCAGGACATATTTTGGACAGGATGATCAAGGAAATGCATGCGGCTCAGAGTGCATGTGATTAGAAGAAAATTGTCTGGTAAAAGCATGTACCAGTACTTAATTAAGGATAATGAAATCATATTTAAAGAAAAAAAAAATAAATTATGCGTATTTGTTCTTTGTAAATTTTATCAAAAGCACCCTTATCACTATCAACATGATGGCAGTCGGCAAGTGAAAAACACCAGCAACCATATTCAGATAATAAATAACATAATTGCCTGAACATTTCAAAGTATCTATAGAATAGTTGCCATAATGGGTCCGAACTACTGCCAATAATTCATAAGGGAAATAAGGTAACAAAAACAAACAAAAGACAAAGCAACCGTAAAGAGAGATAGCCATACGTGGGAGGCACCGTCCCTTCAGAAGCAAATGTGGAAAGGCCTTGTCGTTGCTTGTGTTTAGGGTTGGAAGTGCATAGTACATATACTCGTCCGCGGCGCTTAACGGTTCTGCAGAACTCGCACATCTTTTTCACTGATGATCGCACCTTCATACTTAACACTGCATAATCCAAATATCATCAAACAAGCCAAATCATATATAACAATAACATAATTCAAATACGACATAGCTGGCGCAATTGCAGATATCGCGGTCATAAAATAACGGTTTCTGACGACACCGCTACCGTTCTATTGCGGTCGCGTACAGCTATTTAAATCCGTATAACTATAAGTAAGAAATGAATCAATGAAGCATAATTAGCAATTGCACAATAACTTTTTTGCAAGAAATTCAATTTCAGCCTCGAGAAAAAAGTATGAATTACTTTTTCACAAATCAAACGAAAATGAAAGACCCTTTACAGGTTAAATCGAACAAAAAAATGTAACAGAGTGATGCAGAGCAGAGAGCAGGTACACAAACCGAGCAATAACTCAAAATCCAATGGCTCAAGTAGAAACCAATCTTCAAGTTAAGTTTGGGGTTTCAGAAATTACCTTATCTAGTTTCTTGATCCGCCCGAACTTGAAAAACAAGAGAGCAGTGGCGAGAGGCTTGTCTAGCGGCGGTGATGTGCGAAGAAGGACGAGACTTGTGGTGGGCCGGCAATTTTTAAAAGAGAATGGTTTCAACCCTTGTGCAACATTGGGTTCGAATCCCGCATTTAAAAATAGACGAAATTGGGCCCAAAGGTTCCTACAATGAGTATTTGTAGTATTCAATGTGTATTATTATTTTCAACTATAATGAGGAACCTTCAAAATTTATAAAATTTTAAAATATATATTTCAAACACATGCATGGATGAAAACCGGGATAGAAGATGGGTACAATTTTATGGATTTCACATTGTATCTGCATTAATAGGGGCGAGGATGGATACGAGTTTAGTGGGTAGTGAACGAGTATAGATATAAAAAGTCATAATCGTCGTGGGTAGTGGGTAGGTGACAGGTTTAATACCTTACTCACACCGCATCCGCCCTCCCCATATTCGTCCGTTCACTAACTTTTCACTATATAATTTTTAGACCATTATGATTTAGGTATAATTTTAAATATTATTTTGTAAATATTAAAATTTTATAGGACACGACATGTATTGTAACTAAATATTATGATATATATTTTAAATTTAAGTCAGTCGTTTCTCCTATCTCAAATCAGTGGGTTTAGACGGGTATAAATATGTATGAGATGAGTGGTGGGTATCTATTAGTTAATGAGTGTGGAGATGAATTTAAGAATATATTCGAGTGAGTGGGTGTTGATTTAAAAATTTTACCCGACTTAGAGATGGATAAGTGGTGAATACGAAAATATTTAACAAATAACAAAAATACATAAAACCCAAATACACTTTGATTTTGAAAAGACCCGTCGGATATTCTCGGCATTTCCCTCCGAATATTCCTTTCCTTTCCGCTGTATTCCCCACATTTCCCTTCGCCAACTCCTTCTCCCTCCCGTTTCTCTCTTTTTCCCTCACCCTCTCTTTCATTTTCTTACATCCAATCACTAATTTTAAGATTTAAAGCTAAGATTTCTGGCCATGAAATTGGGAAGAGCCTCAGCAACCAAATCGAGGAGACGTTGCCTGACTGGCAGGACAAGTTCCTTTCTTATAAGGAGCTTAAGAAGA